TCCATATTCCAAATCTCAGGATTCTGTAGGATAGAGTCATGGCAGTTAATGTGGTGTCAATGTACTTTAATCCTGCAGTGTGGATATACTGAAGGAGACAGCATGCAGTAAGGGCATTCAAGGTATGATATTAAAAAGATTCAGCCTTTATAAATACTTTATGTCACAAGTTTATTAAATTGCTTGGAAATGCATGCTGAAGTTGATTTCTTTTTTTTTTTTTAAATCTGTTTTTAGTGTAAGTCTGCACAAAACTGGGAATCCAGTAATGTAGACATGCCAAAGTGAAACATGAGCAAGGGAGCAGGTGCATCAGGATGGTGTTGTTTTCCATTTCTCTTGCAGAAATGCAAACCATGTTGCTCTTCATGGACCTTTAGCTCTTGTCTATTATCTTTCATTTAATTTCCAGTTCACAGCAAGAATGAGATATGTGACTGTTGTTTTGTCTGTAGGCCAAAATGATGTGCTAACTGATCTGTACACATTGTTCATCCTTCTGCTTTCGGAAACATTGCAGTTTTGTATAAATAACAAGATGTTGTTTCAAAGGTCAAGTGGGCATCTATAAAACAAGAACTGGTCCCAAAGGGCAGAAATTATTAATATAAGTAAACAGATGAAGAACAACATAGACACATACAAGTAAACATGAATGCATAAGCATCAATGCACCAGCATAGTGTTTATTTGCCACTATATCTGATTGTTCTGATGAGAAATCTGTACCTAGAATCAGAGGCTATGGTTAGAACAGAATATGTTTCAAACTCTTCTATCCAAAAGTGGACAAAAATATGGTGGATGGAATAGACAGGAAGTTGCAAAAGAAAACTACCACATGAGAAACATGGATTTTGCTTCTAATTTGATTAAGAAAATCCACTATATGTTGGTGTAATTTTGACAGAGATATGAGTTAAAATATGTACACGCACAAGAAAAAAGATTCCTTTAAAAATGTGAACTATTTTTATGGGCAGTCCTGTCTCCTTCGATACTATAGCCCATTTCGTATACAGTTTTAACTCTGTTCCATGTGCATTTTTGAAATGTGAACTCTGCACCTGGAATATAACTTCTGTCAAATCAGGATCTGAATCTACAAATTTTGTTGCCAATTCTTTTCTGTTAATAAAATTTGAAAGATGATGATGGCAACAAACCTTGAAGATTTCTTTATACTTGATAAGAAGTATAAAGCTGCTGATTCAGTTTAATTTTTGATGGAAATCATTGTACGGGTTATTGCTATTTATTATACTGCTAATATATTTTTTTAATAATCTGAATTCCAAATAGCTCATTCTTCATCTTTTCCCCCCCATATAAGGTGCTCACTAAATCAGAACTGAAATCTGGTGTTATGTAAATACTCATACTGCGTCTTTGTGCTTTATGTCACTAGCTTTTTCAACACTTCATTTGAAGTTCTGTTTACTTGTGAAATGTCTCTGATGTTTTCATTGACATATCTTTTAGGTTCCAGAAAATGGTCTGTAGAGCTGGTTTTCTACACAGTTGACTTGCTGTGGAATCAATTCATCTGTCAACACAGGTTTAAATCTACACTGTGGGAGCCAGTGAGTTTCAACAGATAGATGCAACAACTGGAGTAAGTCAACTGAATTCTCATTCCTCTTCTGTCCTAAACAGGCAAGCATGAACAGACTTTTGCCATTTCCTGTTTAGAAATAGTGTCACTCAGGTAGGATATCCAAGGCCTCAATTGCAGGAATAATGCAGTTTGACACACCACTTTAACTGCCATGGCTCAATGCTATGGAATCCTGGGATTTGTAATTTATTATGGCACCAGAGCTCTCTGATAAAGAATACTAGATATTGCACAAAACTATCAATCCTAGAATCCCATGGCAGTTGAAGCAGTATCAAATTGTATTATTTCTGCAGTGCAGATGCAGCACAAGCTAGCAATTATGTAAGTCTGTTCTTTTTTGATTGGCAACATCCATAGTGTGGTCATCCATAGTTGTGGACTGTTGTACCTTGTTGCAACAGGCTTTTGGGGGAGGTGGTCTCACCTCTTCCCCCAGATGTTTATCAAATATCCAAGACACAATTTTCAAAGCTTTCCTCTGTGCTATACATGGGGGTTCAAGTGTGTTGGAGATTTCACTTAGGATTCCTATCTTCGTCTGATAGCAATTTCCGTCTTGTGGGGTCTATACCGGTATAGTTCTGGATTGATTCCATACTGCTTTCTTGCCGCTTTGAGACCCACGTGTGATAACGTCCACTGTCCTCACACCTAGGTTTAACAAAGCTAAGACTATCAATGCCCTTGTCCTGGCTTCAGCCAAGCCGTTCAGTCAATAGCCAGAAGGCAGAAATTTCCTATAAGAACGTTGGATTTCTAGGCTCCGTGTGCTATCTTGAGAGTGCATGCTGACTCC